AGAAGGAAGTGGCCGAGATGCCAGAAAAGAGTAGCTTGGTGAGTTAACAATGCTAATAATCATAACAATTCTACCAAAAAAGAAGTTTGATAAAAACAATATTATGTCAAAAATTACCGTTCCTCAAAGTTTTAATATGTAAAACAGAACTTCATTGCACTAGTCACTAGTGTATATCACGAAGCAATTTGAAAAAATCCCATTTTATTCTTAGCATATTATATTTTATCAAAACATGTCACAAATGAATAATACTACATATTTTACTTTAAAAAAATTTTTCTTCCTACGCTTTGTATAGAGTAATAAAATTCTATGTTCAAGCGTGACACGACAATAATAGCATAACAAATACCTGAAGAACCTATTTGAATACCGGTTCCACTACCACAACCTACTCCTAGGTTGGCCATAGGAAGCATTTCGTTCACGACACGGCAAATAATAAAGCAGGCCTCCATCCTCACACGATAAAAAGTTTTTTCGTTTGCTATAATGCTAGAGAGCGCAAGCCGTGTTTCAGTAGAGGGAAAATCGGCAAGTGCACAAACTGCCTCTAATTGGCCGAGGCAATCGCGATCATAGGATAACTGAAGATGCCACATAAAATCAGTCTGCTCAGTGTGGATATTTCGAATAACAGCTAAATCGGGATCAAGACGAAGCCACAATAAAGGAGACTCTGGATCAATTCGAGAAAGGTCCATATCAATTTCATCTCCATTCGCAAGAGGAATCTTCTTTTTGCGATGTTTCCTACTCTTTGAATGGCATGGCAAATCACGTGAAGTACGACCTTCTTCCAATTTAAAGGTGTGCATGAAAGCTCCATCTAATTCTTGCAGCATAACAGAGATAGAACCCGTATAATTCAAAGTACTTCGAGACTGTAGATCCTGTAAAGATAAAACACAAAAAACTTGTTAAACGTAGACTTTAGTCTAATGACAGTATATCGAGTAAATAAGATATGTCAATAAAAAAATTTAGCCAACAGCATTACTAAAAAATGTAATTAATGTACAAATGCAGTTTTTTGAGAATTTCTTAATATTTTGTGACTAACGACTAATTTTGCAGGATAAGATCGTCAATTGGCCCTAGCGGAAAACAAAAGAGGATTTTCCTAGAATATAGATGAAGGCTAGGCACGGATTCATCGGAGTAGGACTTCCTTGCACAAGACAAGTTTCCAACCAAAATAAACCTCCTAAGTTTTTCAGTGTGGCCACTTATCGAAGCTGTCCCGAACAACTTTCCTTCGAAATAAAAATACGAACCACATTGAAATAATATGGACTAAATAATGGAGTAATCAATGGATTTCGTTAGGGGTAAATCACATGTAAATGTGTATCAAGGCTTTGACATTCTTTCAGTAGAATTCGAATATGTTGTTTGCAAATTAAGACAAAAATACATTATTTTTAAAAAAATATTACCCTAGCATCAACGTGTTCAATTCCCAAGAAAAATTGGAGATGAATTACAATAATCACAAAACGATAAGCTAAGCTACAGATGAGCGGCGAGTGGCATGTCTAACTATGTTGAGCCCACCTCGTAAATAAACAAGTGAACGCTTGCGTTATAAAGAAATAAGTTTAATCCTGAAGCCGAACCTATTTATCCTATATTGCGATGAAAACATGACCAAGGGGAACTATTCTCTCATATAAGAAAGGCTCACAAGCAGACAAGAATCTTCAAGTCTACTATATAAACACAAGTCATCAAACAGTTTCTGGCTTTTTAGATAAAACGAAAAATGACTTAAAACAATCTAACCTGGCAGAAATATGCTAGAGACTCGTATAATTATGCATTAATTAGTGGTTTTTGGACCTACAGAATAAAGTTTTACTTTTAATTCAGTCAGTTAAAGAATAGAACTATCCAAATTATATATGCTTTTTCGGATTTAATCCATTTTGGCGTGTATTTTTT